CCGACCGGCCGCCAACGCACTCATCAGGGTGAAGAAAGATATTGAAATCACCGGTAACTATCCACGGTGGCCGTCCATGCTTTCAGCAATCTCACGCATAGTATCCCATAAACCGTAACGACCAACCCTCGCACAACTGGCATAGACATGGGTGGGAAGATTGGTTCTGAGAGACGGGCAACAAAGAGCTCAACGTGCAGAACATGTTCAGTATCACGGATGACCCGACAAGTAAAGTCACGCAAGTGAAAAAACCAGATCTTATAAGAAATGTTTCCCACGCCAGAGTGGAAACCAAGGCGACGTGAGTAAAAGTCAAAAGAGGGGTTACGGGTCATGGACTCTAAGAAAGCAGCAAAGTCAAGACTATGGTCATGAACAAGGGAGCGAACATGAGCTAGAGTGGCTCTATTAGCCAAGCCACGGGTATTCCAGGTAAGCGATGTAACCGACATATCAAACATCGGTGACTCGACTTGGTCCGCCTGTGGCTAGGCTGAATCGATATATCAGGGTAAGGTAAGGTTTAGCTAGCCGAGCGCTGCGCAGTCCTGGATCTGGTGCGAGGCCGACTGCGGTCGGGGGTCTCAGGGAGATGTCCATGAGACTGCTTGTTAGTGTTATATACTGAAAGTTTGACTTTGCATGTTATTACACATTTACCCTTTTGTGAATGAGAATCATGTTAGATTAAACAAGTTCTACGTTTTGTTGTTCTGCACTTAGATGGGTGGTCATCGGGCGAACCGAAAATCACTCTATCAGTCACTTGCGAACAAGAATAGTTGTTCACAATCTAGATGGACATAACACCCCATCCGAACGGTTGTAGTGTCAACTGTACAGTTTGTCTTAATTGATTAGTTGCACTAGTACATTTATGTATTGAACAGGATCCTAGAGAGGAGAAGTTCATTTTATACTGATCGTCGTAAATGAACTAGGCCTCGGTTAATTACTGCGTTCTCTTAACCCGTAAGATATTAAACAGGCATATATATATATAATATATATTACTTTAATTCACATGGGTGAGGTTCAGTTCGCTGGATTAATATTCCTACTGTTTTGGGTAATATTATTATATATAGGATGTGCTGTTAGGATATTTACGGTCACCATGTGCGTTAGTTTGATGATGTCCCCGGAGTGAGTTCATGAAGAATTGTTATGCTAAACCCTGCAGGTGGATTAAGTTCCGGCATAATAAGAATGTGATGAACGAGCGCTAGCTTCGGTGAAATAATAATAAATTAATTAATTCTTGATTGTCAGTAATCGAATTAATTAATGGACATTATATCTTAAACGTGGGGAGGTAAATCGAATAATTATTATTGGAGTCTCAAATGTAATTTGGGCTAGGAAAAGGGAGTGCAATAATATAAAGTTGGTGGCTCATTAATATTATTTAATTAATTAGAGGAGTGAGTTTGACCCACAGTTAGTCTAATTAATTAAGGAACCCTTTTCCTAATCTTCTAAGGGTCCCTACTGTAGCTCTATATATACATCATTAAACTCATACGAAGAGAAGACATCTGTCATTATACAAACACACGCCCCATGCCTCTCTCTCTCTAGAACTGATTCGAGCTTTATCTTCTTCTTGTTGCTCCACTGGTACAAGTCGAAGAAGGGTGTATTGAGTAATATAGTAGAAGATCTGTAGGTAAACAGAGACGAAATATATTTTGACCTACAGAACTAACCGGAAGTCCAATTGAGACGTACAGCATACCCAGACGACCGTCTCGACGAGAGCTTTCCATTGTCGTTGAGATCGCCAGAATCCGACATCTCACGCGCCCTCACGCGCCGCCGAAAGCTCCCAGGCTGCAAAATTTCGTTTTGATCTGTTTGCATCCGTTTGATCCGGTTTTGATCTGATCTTGTTCGTGCAACCCAAGATGTGATTTGCGGTCAATCAATTGCGGTCAACCGTTCGTGGTCAGCCAGATCTACATAAATTTTAAGCCGTAAATTCACTACGTCAAACCTTTAGATCCGCTGCGCATAGGTTTACGTTTGCTATTGAATTCGTGATTTGTACATAAAGAGATCCTCACAGATCTCAACACTGCTCTCCTTGCTCCTGAGTATCAAAAATAGGAGAGGAAGAAGGAGAGGATCCGAGTAGCGGGACATGGATGTCCTCGATATTGTGCGGAGAAGCATCACTGACAATACGCATCACCAGGTGCTCACTCTTAGAGGCAATGAGAGGGGACGCCTCAGGCTCGACCTGGGAATCGTCGATAGGAGTGGACCGCAAGCCCTGGGGTCTCACCTCAGGGGTGACGTGATCATCGGAGGGAGCCACGTCTTGGGAACTGACGCTAAGAA